CCCCCCCCCCCGAAGCCTCCCTTGTTGGGGAACAGTCTAGAAAGGCGTGATGGGTCTCAGTGGCTGGGCAGAGGCTCTGGGCTCCACGTAGGGCAGCAAAGCTGGGGCCAGGACCCCAGGGACCCCAGGCCGCATGGCCTTGGCCCGGCACGCTCCGCTCCTAACCTCAGTTTTCCCACCTGAGAAATGGGGATAGAAAGATTTTGGATTCGATTCACAAGCATTCATCATGCCTTGCAAGGCAGCGGGATCTGTCCTGCATGGGATGACCCCCTTTCATGCACACGTGTCTCCCTGGGGCTCCCTGGTCCTCAGGCCCTCAGACCCCGTCTGGGGTCTGGATCTGGGCCTTGCCCCCAAGCTAGACAATCAGTGGGTGAACACAAGGAGCTGCGATGCTGGGTGGGTTCATTTGTTTTCTGTGAGTGTGTTTGGGCAAAGGGCAATGCAAAGACCATTCCGTTAAACACTCCTCTCCACTTGAGGACGAGGTGACTGAGATGTAGAGAGGAAATCACTGGTCTCGGGTTTCATCTGTCTATTTATTATTCATTTCCTGGGCACAGATGTTGATTGGGTGTCTTCTGTATGCAAGTACTGTGCTTGGCACTGGGGAGACAAGGGCAGGAGTGGAGAGCGACACAGGCCCTGTCCTCATGGAACTTGAATCCACAGCAAATCGGGTGCACCCAGTGGGGGCCTAGAACTGGGCCTATGACCTCCACCTCCAGCCAGGTCAGACCTCTGCTCCCTTTGAGAGGCCCAGGCTGAACTCACTCTTAAAGGATAACTAGGCGTTGGGTAAGTGGATATAAGGGGTAAGGGCATCCTAGGTGAAGGGGACCTTTGGGCAAAGGCACTGCGATTGGACCACGTGGGCTGCGTTTGGGGAGCAGGAAGGTCACCTGATGTAACTGGACACTAGCACTTGATCGTGCTCTCTAGAAAGCGGTGACCGAAGGTATGTGGGAAGGAGACCGCTGGTCTCCAGGGAGGGTGGGAGTGGCCAGCAACCGGGTGGCGAGAAAGGAACCCCTGGGACTATGAGTGAGGCTTGGGGGCTTCACTTTGAGACGATCACAGGACCGGCGATGACTCAGGAATTTCGGCTGTAGCTTCAGGAGACGGATCAGCACACCTCCGCCCCCAAATCAGCGGGACCACGGGAGAGTCTATGGGACAGCCTAATCCTTCCCCACCTGTACCACCCCATCTCTGGGACTTAAGATCTCCTGGACCTCAGTTTTCCACCGGGTGTGTGTGTGCGCGCGTGCGCGCGCGCTCGCGGAGAAGCGTGTGGATCGAGACCCCAGACCCTCCCAGCTGCAGGCCCCTAGGGTCTGCAGGATGGCGGCAGCGGCGGGAGGACATTTTCAGCACCGGACGACGGACAGCACCCGCGCGGAAGAGAGGAGTGGGAGGCGGGGGGAGGAGTCAGCATCCTGGGGCTCGCTCGGCCGCTCAGTCACGGCATGGCCTGCCCTCCCACCCCAGCCCCTGAGCTGCCGGGGTCCGCTCCAGGATGGGGTGAAGTGGGGGACGGCGGAGGAAAGCGAGCAGAGAGAGTGAGGGACAGGGTCCCGAAGGGCGGGGCTTGGTCCGAGCTCGACCGCCTCATGCCTGCCTAGAGTAAGTCCCACGAGCGAAGCTTCACTCCCTGACTCCGGCGCTCGGTTTCCTCTCCGGTGTAGTCGTGGCAGGGCGCGTCAAGTGCCCCACTGCGCAAGCGCGGAAATGATTCTCAAGCCCCCTCCGGCCTGCCCCCATCTATTGGCTGCTCCCGCCGCGAACGAGCAGACCCACTGTCCAATCCGAGAGCGCCTCGGGTCGCTTTGCCTATCGCTGGCCCGGATGTTGACGCCCGCCGAATCCGCTTTGGCGAGAGCGAGTCAGCAGCCAATCGGGAGAGGGGCGGGACTAGCCGGCGCCCCCGAAGAGCCAATAGCAAGCGACGGAGGATGACGCCGCGGACATGGCGGCTGCGGTCTGCCAGCCGGGGACGTGTCGCGCCGCCGGGTAGCTTCAGTCGGTATCCCGGGAGCGGAGCCGCTTCCTTATTAGTTTTCGTGCCCACGAGGCGACGCAGCGGGGAGAGCG